AGCGGAATATTTATGTTATTTATTGATATAGATGAGTAATCTAATAAAAATTTTTATTTAATATAAATAGATGACATTTTCAGACTTTCCAATCCCTGAGGAAAGGCCAACTTATTTACCTAATATCCTTGTCGCGAAGTATTTTCTATGTTAATTTTATTTTTTTCATTTAAATCATAAAAACCTTATTTTTACTTTTTGTGCCTTTTTTTCAAAAAGATACTTTAACATGTATGCTGACAAATTTAAACTTTGGCCATACATCATATTTCGCACGACTGTTATTCATGTATCGTACCTTCCTGATCATCGTTGGAAAGTTAAGTATATTACTAATATAGATAAAGCTCAAAATGAGGAGGATCACAGTAGCGAATATGAGGAAATATTTGACTATGTCATGGTTTGCAATGGACACCATAGAAAATACAAGTTGCCTAAATATAAAGGGATGAACGAATTTAAGGGTGAGCAAGCTCATTCTCAATTTTACAGGCGGTAAGTAAATCAATAAATAAAATTGATAATAATAAATAAATTAGATGAACTTAATTAAATACTACTTACTATAATAAAATAACATCAATCATGTTTTGTATGGTACGTATTAGATCTGCATGTTTCGAAGATAAGCGTGTTGTTGTTGTCGGAGTTGGCAACGGGTATGTTATCAATATTTATTTATATATACAGTTTCTTAATGCTAATCAAATCCATGCAACCTTTAGTAATTTTGTTTATACTGTTATTAGTGGAATTGATATCGCCGTTGAATTATCCCATGTCACATCTCAAGTATATTTATGCATTCGTAGAGGTAACAAAATAAATTATACACAATATTTATTTTTTTCTGTTTATGGTTATTTAATTAGGTATTCAATAGGAACACTTCCATGGATTTTACCACGCTTGGTCGGTGGTACTCCAATTGATCAATTGGGAAGTCGCTTTTCTACCTATTTTTTTCCAAATTTCACTTCTGCTTTAATAAAACTTATAGTCAAGATTGTAAATCCACATCCAACATCTTTTCAGCAACCTGAGTCATTCAATTCTTCACATCCAACCATAAAATCAGATTTTTTTGAACGTCTTAAGACTGGTACTATTATATTAACAAAAAACATTTTAGAATTAATGCCTGATGAATCCAAGTTAATTAAATTTGTCGACGGTTCTATTGTAGAAAATATTGATGCAATAATTTATTCGACTAGATTTAATATAGATTTTCCATTTTTAGATAGAGAAATTGTTAATGGTGGACCAGAAATTGAACAAGAATTTGAAGAAGAATATAAAGAAAACTTGACATGGATGTATAAGATGATGTTCCTACCAAAATACCGTAATATTGTATTTATTGGTTTAATTCAGCCAATTGGTGCCCTTTTTCCTATTTCGTATGTAATTATTATTGTTTCGAAAAATCACACGAAATTCTATTTTAATTATTTATCGCTATCCTTTTTTTTTTTTTTTTTTTTTTTTTTTTTTTTTTTATAAAAAAAAGGGATGAATTCTTGTTTTGTGATAAGTTTAATAAAGGGCTCTATTAGTCTCCTCCCCCCACCTAAAAATATAATAATTTAAAAAAGA